ATATTTGAAGATATCTTTAAAGCATATTATTCTTGACACATTTAAAATTATATTATTTTTATCATAATTTTTTAAATGTAATAATTTTAAGATTCCAAAAATAGATATTAATAAATTAAGAATTCTATTTCACACCACAATTTTAAACTTTGAATATTATAACAAAGAATCATATATTTATTCATTTACTATAAAGTTAACTATACATTACCAAAAACGTTAAATAAATTGCAGTGCACTACTTCTAACTACTGTTGTGAACAATATCAACGAACTTTTCTATTAATATTAAGTATTATTAAACCATTATATTTAAATAGTTTAATGCCAGGTTAATTTCTATATAAATCTTATTATAGACTATAGTTTTACTGCGGTAACGGCGACGTAAACTGCTTACGGGAACAATATCCTCTATCTATCCACTAACTCCTGTGCAAAGAATTTGATCCCCTTTTGAGGTTACGTACGTAGATGCAAGGATTCTAATAGGATATGTTACCATGTTAAGGATTCTACTTAGAAAAATTTAGGAACTTCCTCACGAAGATTCGTTAAAAAGATATTAGACGTTCATTAGATGTATTTTGTTGTATTTTTACTGTATCTTTCTTCATGTGCATATAAGATATAATTGTTTTAAAATTTTAAACTATTTATAATTCTATTATATAATAATCCAAAATTAACATATTGATTATTTTATTATATATTTTTTTAAATATTAGAGGAAAGTCGCCGATACTGACATAGGTCTTCTAAAGTGACACCCACATATTTTTCGGAAACTAACTATTGCACTTTAATAATACTAATAAAATTATGATGTATTTAGCTAATTAAAGAAGTACAAACTCATAATTTGTAGGTTTGTGGCTTGTTTCTATATCAAATCAGCTAAAAACAAATTCTACAAATGCGAAAATAAAATTCTTACGATTTTCTTTTGCAAATTGTGAGGTTTAAATAGTGATTATGTTATTGATAATACTACGTCATTTTAAATACTTGTAGTTTCCGAAATAAGTTTTATTTATATTATTTTTTCTCTTAGTCTTTTCATAATACGATTTTTAATTTAAAATTGGGGTGTAGCGTAAACCGACACACCTGTCCGTAAAACAGACCATGAGCTAACTTAATCTTTATAATGTTGTTTTATAGTGTCAAATAAGTCTATTAGAGCTGAAGACAATCGTGCATATATGGAACAACTCTAGAAAAACATCGCATTACATATTCGCATCTTGCAGAACAGCATAAAGTAAATATGCATATAATTCAATAAAAATGTTTTATAACGAAGTAAAATGATTCTGAAAAATCTTATATACTTTCACTTATAGGTACTTTATACAGATAATTCCTGTAAAAGAAAAAGAATAGGAATATGTAGTATTACTGCCTAGTATGTCAGTTTTGGAATCCATTTTGTCAGATGCTCATTTTTGCATAACTTACGAAAAACTTAATTATTGCAAAATTGCAAACAGTATTATAAAAATTGCTTATACTATCTGATAGAAGACACTTTTTACTTTGTATTTATGTTTTTGAAGTTATATTTTTACCTTTTGTTTAAGAAATATTATCTAAAAACAAAGTGATATGTTGGTATCGGTGACTTTCCTCTACCTAAATAAGAAAAAGATACATCTATTACTGAAAAATTTTAAAGTAATGCAAACAATATATAATAAAAAAATATATTTTATTATTTCCTAACTTTATTATCAAGTTTTGTACATATATATTTATTTTTTCAATTCTAAAATTAGTCGATAGTACAACAGTACAATGTGTCGATAATGCAATATGTTTATTTTTTTTAAATAATAGTTTATTATCTCGAATCAAATACAATTTAACTTTTGAATTATATTTTTATATTCAAATATTTTTATTTTAATAAATTTACGGAAGAGTGTTTACCACATTTAATTTCTTTTTCAAATTATTCTAATTTAATGTTTTATACTGTATTAATCATTTTATCTGTTTGCTTTTCATAAATAATATTCCAATTTTCCTCCTTTTTACAATAAATCATAGTTGAGTTTCACGACGAATTACGTTAAGTGGAAGCTGCTGCCTGATTAAAAGTTGTTCTTTACTTTTGTCTTGTCTTGTCATTACTTAGGAGTAGGCAAAGCTTCGAATTGAGGGCGATCTGAATTTTATGATACCGCCGATTCATCTTTCATTAAAAGAATTTATTCGTACCTATTTAAATTGTAAAAGAAAACGACAGAAAGATCTTTTTCAAATAATAAGTACAAATCTTTAATTAAAAATTATGCAAACAACGGATATTGAGAATCCCATTGTGTGTACATATCTTGAATGTTTCTTTTGAAAGTAAAATTCTTAAAATAAAACTTAAAATAAAAGATTTAAAGATGTAATAAATCTATGTATAAAAACATTGTTTCAATATTTCTTTGAAAATTCTCTCAGTAAACAGTAAGAACAAAGTTTCAGAAAATTCAATAATTCTTCTGTCAAAAATACTTGTTTTTTGAGAATACCTCTAATAAAATAAACTTGTTTTATTAAACTCGAATAAATATATTTATTATTCTAAATTTAATATAAAATAATTATATAAAATAATATAAAATAATTATATAAAATAATTATATTATCACATATATAAATTTGAGATTTTGTTAATTTCTTTATATTTTTATGTTTCATTCGTTTATTTTTATCTTTAATACCATTTCTTATATCTTAAATTCACACATATTGTAAAAAAAAGAATAATTACTGTTAGACATATGAAAGATCAACTGAGAGAATTTCTTGCTGGAATGGGTTCGTCAATTGTTATTCGAGAAACGAGGAAGAGAATCTCTTTCCTGTATTCTAAATATTCCTGCCACACAAGAACCAGGAAGTCATTAACCTCTTTTCGCTTTTAATATACTGCCACTGTGTCGCCATTCCACTGATGACGATGTAGTGATTAAAGATCGTTGCGGGCATTTTGAGAATTTGACCGATGTTTCATTATGTCAACTACTGATATACAGTTGTGTAATTATATCGCATCCGGACGATGTACTGCTTTGTAATTTCGAAAAATAAAAGAGGATAAAGTATTCTCATTGCGTTGTTTACAGTATTACACTGGTTTCCTTTTAAGAGCGACATGACACATAATTATGATTCATATAATCCTCGTTATGATACGCGTAACTGCGTTTTTTGAGAATTTCGAAATTCTTGTGTGTGAAAAGCGTTACTTATTACTTTCACGTTTTTTACATTATGTTTTTTATATTATTATTACTGCATATGTCATTTAATTTGAAATGCATTAAGTTAATGTAGAAAAATAATCTCAACAAGAATGATAATTCCAAGTAGCTGAATATGTAATGTTGTTCGTGACGGTACATCCATCATGAGGCTTGCACAAATTGATATATTTTCGCTACTCCAGTTAAAAATGGCGAACTTTACTCACAAATATAAATGCTCTTGAAATTCTTTTATTAGACGTCCTGATATCGATCTATTCTAGACATATAGTTATAGATTATTTGCTAAGAAATGTATCTCTCTCTCCTTCATATAATTATACATAGCTACTAGCTAGAGGCAATTGCATTATATAGGAGTTCATCCACAAGTAAATCCTCTTAATGGTATCGCCTGTAATACATATATCCACTAAAACATATAGACAGTTGAAAGTTCGGAGAGGCCTTGACGTAATAATATCCATCATCTATCTCGTACAAGTACGAGTAACAAGTATTTTAACAAGCGTATCGTGCATTCAAGTTCAAAATGAAAGATTAGATGCTCAACTTTAGTCATTGGTGACATCCCACCTAAAATTTTCATGAAATTCAGACTACATAACGAAATATATCATGTGTTAATGTATAAAAGGTGTTAAAGTTAATTAAACAAATTAATATCCTAAATTTCGCTCTTTCAAAAACGAGCAATTTGGTTACGTGTGATTAATGAGAATCCTTTGATCTGCCGATCGGAGCAAGTTGATTAATTAAATTATTTATTCCTTTTGACAGAATTTATATCGGTCCATCGAAAAGTAGATCGGACGAAATGCATTTGATGTATCTCATATATAACTGTCTATCGTTTTACAGAAGTACTTTGTATCATCAAAAACCTCAATATATTAATAAAAATGGTGCTAAATCGAACGGTGAAGCTTATCAAACTAATATCATGCGTGGCAATCAAAATGAAGTTTTAATCTTCATCATCATCGACCGACAATTATTTCTGCAATTGATAAAACTCGCATCCGGACCAATAAATGTAATAATGGATATACGAAAATTGATAGTGAATTGTGCGAAATTATCGCGAGATAATTTAGTGCGATTTAGACTAAATTATGCGAGAAATGATGCAAAGTTTATAAGAATACTCAAAAGACTTGATTTGGAAATTGAGGAGGATGAAAATTTCATCCTAGAAGAAAATATTAACAATAATTATATATATGTAGATTCTGTGTATAAAGAAATATGTTTAAGATATATATAAAAAAGATCTTTGAAGACTACATTTAAGAAAAAAAAGATAAAAGAAAAATAAAGAATAAATCAAAAAGAAAAAAAGAAAGAAAAGGATTAAGTTACATACGTAGTAAAATATGTATATATATTTGAGTCATTTTTTGTATACAGAACAGTGACATACAGAATGGTGCTATGCAATATTATTTTCGCTAACAAAAGATTATAGCATCACAGTTGTGTATTGGCTATTGTATAAATAAATGGATATTGGACCAGTGATAGAAGTACGGAAATCATGTTGCGTGGGAAATATAATTTTCTGAAGAGATTTCGAAGAATACGGAAATATTTTTTCAATTTTCATTACGCAACACAAAATATCAATCAATAATATCTATAATTAATTCAAAACTTAAAAACGTTTCAAGAAACCCTGAAAAAAATGCAATATCCGATAATATCAGATAATAATCACAATATTATATAATTGTATTAAAATATGAATGTGTATTGTGACGATGATTTCTAAGGAGAGATAATCAATCTATTTGCAATGATAAAAAAATAATTCATTCAATGACGCTCTTTTCATCATCATGGACTTTCAAAACACCATGAAGTCCAAAACGAGCGAGGGATCACTCAAGAAAAATCGTTTCCTGCAATATAAACGGTGAGCCAACATTCACCGTCACCATGATGAACGTAATGGCGGCGATGTCGACGGGCCTACCTCAAATGGAGTCCACGTCTTCATCAGTCTTCAACAACACTATTACCGCTTTTAGCACAACAGCGACCACAACAACAGCCGCAAATGTAACGTCATCAGTAGAAAATCCGACGGTGGAAAATCTTCCCGAAAATGTCAACGTGTTAGTGGTGGCGATCAAGGGTTTTATTATGGGCACCATCATCACTACGGCGGTTTTGGGCAATATGCTAGTGATTGCCAGCGTGCGGAGGCATCGTAGGTTACGAGTAGTCACTAACTGTTACGTCGTCAGTCTGGCAGCGGCCGATCTCTTGGTGGCAATGTGCGCTATGACCTTCAATGCCTCAGTGGAGCTCTCAGGAGGAAAATGGCTCTTTGGGACGATTATGTGCGACCTGTGGAATTCGCTGGACGTATACTTCAGCACCGCTAGCATCCTCCATCTTTGTTGTATCAGTGTGGATAGATATTATGCCATAGTAAGCCCGCTTGAGTACACAGTGATAATGAAGCAGAGTACTGTGGGATGTATGCTGGGTAGCGCTTGGGCCCTGCCGGCGCTGATAAGCTTTATTCCAATTTTCATGGGATGGTACACGACAAAAGAACATCTAGAATACATGGTGCAGCACCCGGAGGTACGGAGAAGTTTTTTTATTTAAATAGCTTTAAAAAGTGTTTGACGTATGAGTTATGAATATGGAAATTGTCGGTAACCTTTTAACCATGTAAGTTATCTTGATGTAAAGACGGAATATTTTAAAATTTGAAAAAATTTAAAAATTAAAAACATCTAACTTCGATGATAATAAATGACCTTTTTCAAATTTTTCGTGCAATTTTCTTAATTCACGTTTTTTTATTACATTAATTTATCAGCTATTAAAAGATTTATTTTTATTGGCTATTATATATGTCATTAAATTATATTAATAATCGAAATAATTTGCGACATTCTTTGGTGTTTCAGAGTTGCGAGTTCCGAGTGAATTTACCATACGCGCTTATCAGTTCCTGCGTATCTTTTTGGATCCCAGGTCTGGTGATGATTATCATGTACTGTAAGATCTACAAGGAGGCAATTCGACAACGAAAAGCGCTCAGCCGAACGTCCAGCAACATCGTCCTCAATAGCGTACACCATCATCGCTCATCTACGCGGCACCATCATCATCAACAGATGTTGTTGCAGGCCGCTGCCGATACCGGTGAGCTAGCCCTTCATACAGCACACTTCGCAGTGCCCACGGAGCTCCACGCCGTTAACGGTGAGTGGAACTCCGTCCATATGTGTGTATTCAATTTCTAACATATTCGTATAAATAGCAAAATCCGAGATAAAAGCTCAAGACTCTTTATGGAATTAATAAGTAACAAGTATACTTAAATATCTAATACCGTATTATATCTTAAACAAGCTTTCTTGATAATTTGAGATAAAAAAATTTATTAGAAAGGTTACTCAATAATGTTATGTCAATAATGTTGAAGAAAATATTTAAAACGTATAATTCAGAACAGAAAATACGTAATAGAGAATATTAGGTTTTCAGATACTTTCAGATTGCTATCTATGATGTTTATGTGTGAAAGCTATATATATGACTGCTGTATAGTAGTTAGGTGTTCAAATTCAAGTTCACACAAAGTGTGAATGGCATATACGCACAAAATTTTGAACTCAAATTATGCAACGAAATGATAAGAATTAGCAAGCAACAGTACACTGACGTCGAAGTTTAATGCACAATCAAGACTTGAAACGTATATTCTCGCATCGTGCGTCTGTTGGCGTGGTCGTATATTTCGACAGAAATGGTAAATGCTCGCTCGCGTGAAATCCTCTTATCTCCTTAAGCTATTATACGAACGTGAATGTCCCCTTCACTTCCATGTATAGAACGGTGAGCAGAATCCACTATTTCTACTGCAGTATCCATAGCGTATTTTGCGCGATTACGCAATGAAATGCGTTCTATCATCCTATATAGAGCCTTTCCTAATAATATCTTCCGCGATCCATTTTGGCGGCGACATCAATTTAGTTCCATATTCTCGATCGATAGAGTAGTTTGATAACAGAATGTTCTTGTATACAATTATCGAGAGAAGTAATATATTGTTGTGTAAGGATAATTTCAAATATTATAAAAGTTTTCTTAATTTCAATTTGAAACAATGTGTTCTTTAATTAGAATCTATAATGATGATTTCAATAATTTTTTATTTTATAATTTTTTATAAAGAAAATCATAGAACTTTCTAAAAGAATTTGCATCAATTTTCTCTTGGCAAAAATTTAGGGAAACTAATTAAAGATTTAAATACAGTAATATCTTCTAAGATTTTTGAGAACACGTTTAGCCGTTTTGTGATAAACGTGCGAGATTTATAAATTGATACAAAATCTTTAACACGGTTCATTATATATGATGAAAGCGATTTGCAATTATCTATGGTTGGCAACCGAAAATGGTAGTGAGCATTATTCATGCGGGAAAATAGGATTTTGCGGTCCATTAATAAAATCAAGTTTCAGCTATTCTCATCATCAATGAGTGTTATAACAGTTCACGTGAGTGAATTAAAGCCACCATTAAACTTCAATTCTTAAGAAACTCAAATTTATAAGAATAAGATAATGAAATTTTCTTCACATTTTCATATTAAAAAATAACCCCATATTTTAAAATATAAATCTCTATTTCTTTTGAATTCAAAATAAGGTTTTGATTTATTAAATTTTTAATTAACAATTGCTTAATTAGTTTAAATCTTTTATAATTGAATATTGATTTGATTTCTTTTTAAATAATTAAAATCTATTTTTTCAGAATCAATAAAACTCTTATTAATAAAAACAAAAATTTGAATCATAAAAGAGTAAAATAAATCAATAATAAATAATACACTTGTAATTAATCACGTGCGATTTTAATATATTTAACGATTTGATATCTACTTCAATCAAAATTGATTTAAAATAAAAATTTTAAATGTCCATATTTAAATGTATAAATAACATGTAATATTCTCTGGTTAATGAAAGCCGAGCGCAATTTCGATAATTCGAATAGTGTGACGTGCATGTGTGCTTGTTCTTCAACAAGATTGCATTCCACAAATATGTAATACGCTCACATACACATAGTCTGGAAAATAATTCTGAAGTCAAATTGTTGGCTGCCAACATTAACATGTGCCATGTTAAGCATTTTCATGTTAGTCCAAGATTTCCTATCAAAATAATGTTCTAAATTATGCGCGATGATGGAAGTACTTGAATTTCAGATTCACGCATGCCTTCCAGTATTCTACAACGTCATATTAATTCCGTAATGAATGTTCTTATCGATTTCGATTACAGAATTTGATTATATTTCTTCAGTTTTTATTTTATTGTCTATTAAAAAGTTAAATATTATCATTTAATTATATCCTAATATTTATTAATACTAACATTTAAAAATTGTATAGATATATTTCTTTATGATTATATAATTGTTTAAGGGAACATTCAAATTAGTAATCATAATTACATAATTAACAGTATTTAATTGAACAGTACTTTTTAATTGGATTTTTACAGATATGGATACTTCAGAACAATTCAGACTGTTTAAAAATAAAACTATTTACTATTGTTATTCACTTAAAATAGCTTTGCCAAGTGCAATCATTATTGTATCGATTAGTATGGATGTTATCAGCTGCTCTTCATTTTAAATTGTTAAAGTGTCGGTTGAACGTTAAATCATGCGGCTATGAAATATCGGTGAAAGTTTGCGCAATAATATTGGCGTCCGCGAATTTTGTTACCACAGTTACATGTCCCTGCAGAAATTGTTACTGAATTGCAACCGCATTCAATAGAAAACAAGACAAGAATTAAATATAGTTATTACACTTTTTCCTGCATTTTTTTAGTTTGTTAATTTATTTAATAAGATGCTACAATTTTTCATTTCCATTATTCAAAATATTAGTTTTTAGGTATTTTGAAGTAACTTGATTTTTATGTATTCCGAGAATTTTTTTGGAAAAATTTTTATTTATTTAGAAAAATATTCATATTTTAATGGTTATATTTTTGATGTATATTTTAATATAGACAGATAAAGATACATAGAGAAAGGAGGAGGTAAAAGACAAGCACCCAAAGCTGTCTTTTGGATTGGATTTCTAGGAGTTGGAATATATAGAATACACGGGAGAGTAATCAACAGATTTGCATATGGCTCCAACCCGTTTCATCGAGCGTTTTCATTAGCGTGGTTTTATCTGTCGACTCGGACAGTCTGAAAATTCAATTAAACCCCATCAAGTTAGTAGTGCATCCGTGCCAGCAGTACCTTTCCCTTTTCCCTCACGATGAGGATAAAAATTTCGCTGAATTATTTTTGTTGAGAAAAAATAATTGATTAATCCTGAAAAAGCTATTTTACGAGTTGTACGAACGACTCGTTAACCGAAAAACGTGTCGTGATGAAAATTTAAAAAGCAATTAATTCTTAAAGCAAAGAGTAAGCTGTAAATATACAATTAAAGTATATTTATTATTTACAGATATATTAAAAAAAAGCGATTTTATATTACATATATTTTATTTTTAGTTTATATACCTTTTTAGATTATTTACTTTATTTCAGTTCTCCATATTTTCATAACATTTATGTTATACAATTCTACATAATATTATTTCATAATTATAACTTACGTTATTAATTGTATAGTTATCCATTTCACATTTAGATTCTACATTATCTTAATTCTGCAACACTTAATATAAATATTTTGTAATAACATAAATGTGTTATTACTATAATAATATAAAAAGATTGATGACGTCTATATTTATTATATTATTAATATATACGTATATATATGTATCATATATATAAAATACAAAATAAAAGTATAATATAAAATAATAAATTATAAAGATACAATATAAAGTTTAAATGAAATGAATGACATAGAAAAGTTGCGAATCTCATATGAACGAAAATTATAGTAACTTTATCTTCATTCATGAATCTGTTTTATAAAACGGAATTCTCAATGAAGCAGTTATTGCATCATACATTGCAACGCTGTATGTATCGAAAGCATCACCTAATGGATCCGAGTAAGATCCACATACGGAAAGCGGAAGGTATCGTAAATATTATCGACGAGAAGAGAGAACCAATATCCCGCCCAGCAATTT